TAAAAAGGACTTGCGTCACAAAGGATCTTCTGTATACTGGTACTTGAAGCTGCTCAATTGTAGAACTCTCAAGTGCATAATGGCTTCACTAGAAATAGGCTCCAGAACTTCATTATTTATATTATCAGCACTGATAATCTCTGCTGTCAAGCCTGAAGTTGCATGTGCTGAATTATGCTCTCAGCCCTTCATTCTCTTTACCTATGCTGGTGAGTGTGCAAGGAAGAACTGGGTTATTGCAGCTCCTCCTGTGTGTACTGTGGCACACATAGGGCTGGACTTTGCCCTGGCTCTGATATAAACTTCTCTGTAACAAACTCATGGCCTTAATGCAATGGTTCCTAGTTTCTAATTCCTGATTTCACACCTTCCACTTTCTTAACCTCTTGTGCATGTATTTTAATTCCATTTACATCTTTTATTTAAAGTTCAAATGAAAGAGTGAGTAGTGTGAGGTGGCAAAGTCATACTAGTAAATTGCTTTCAGTTTTGTTTTTGTCTTGGCTGCAACCTCTCCTTCCTACTGGGGTTAACAGGAAGCAGCCCTTGATTCTAATCAATGTAAGAAACATCAGTAGTGTGAGGTCTTATTACGGGAAGACTGATTTGACTCCCAGCAGACTTGCAGGGTGCAGCAAGGTTTGTGCCTCAGTTTGTGCAGTACAGGAGCCTATCCTTGCCTCTTTGTAGTGCCTGGAAGAACTGGGCAAGCACCTCAGACCCCATGGTTTTCACTTCTCTCCTCTTCCAGCATATTAAAGCTCTCTTCAAAGGCACTAGGAAAAAGGTATCATATACTTACTTAAAAAGTTTGCCTAAATGAAAACTCGGGAGGAAAGGTGAGTGGCAGTTTGTAATGCACAGGGGTTTCAAAGCAGAGTGGAACTCCTTACCACTGCAGTCTGAGATACCACCCAGTGATTAATGTCAGCCAGAAACCCACTCTGCCTCATATTTAGTACAGCCATACTGCTCGTCAGGAAATTCCTGTGTTCTCTGTTTGCTCTGCTGGTCCAAAAATGGTCAAATACAGTTGAAAAGTAAGTGTTCCATCTGGCTAAAAGCCAATAACAGTAAGCATCTGGTCATCTCTTTCAAATTTCTCCCCTGTATCAAACATCCATACCAACACCTGCATCTTCCCACTTTATTACTCTATCTTGATGTTTGAATGACATCTCTTCCAGCCTAAGACATAATGAAAGGAATTGTGCTGGACACTGACCTCAGTTCCCATCACATTCACTACAGCAGTTTTTTAAGTGGTTCAGCTGCAACTCAGTTAAAATTAGGGCTTAGCTTTAGTGCCAATAATAGAACAGAATTCTTTTGCCTACTGTCCTATATTCATACAGTTGTAAGTAGCTCACCACTCCCCTTAAAGAAAGGGGCAAAACCCCGACCCCTAAAACCCAACCAAAATAATACCAAAACCAACCAAAGAAACACAAACCCCACATGCCTTTTGTATCCAAACTACACAAAGCGAGATGGAAACACCTTACCACTCTGTGACCACTGTTCACAGGGCCTGGGTGAAGATCAGAAGAGAATGCAGGCAAGTCAATCGGGTATGGGTGCTATTCACTCTTCCTTCACCAGGTCACAGCATCAGTACAAACACCAGTGCCTGAGTGTAGGAGTCTCAAAGTCTGCTGCAAGTTGGGTTTGAAATAGAATCTGCTTTACATCACCAGTGTAGTTCATATTGTACCACTGTGGACCTCTGTTATGCTACTGGATGGGTGTTGTCTTACTGTAACTCCACTGTGTATCTCACACTGCTTTCCTTTTTCCAGCTGTAAAAAGTTGATGGTAGATCACAGCTAAGTTTGGAGTTTGCTTTCTTCAGTACATCTGTTTCACAGGAAGCTCATCAGTTGTAAAGCCACAAAACTAGCAAGGACACTTAAAATGATCAGGTTTTTAAATTATTTTAAATGAACCCATCAGTGGAAGTTTACATACAAGGTGTTAGGTTAGTCCAAATCGCCAAATGCCCATACATCAGCTCGCCATATGCTCACTTAAACTTGCAAAGCAGCAACCCCCTCCTGCCCCAAAAGCTGTCTTCAGTTTCAGTTAAATGGAATTTGTCTGAATGGTGCTTGCTCAAATTAAGAAGTGTCAAATCAGTGCCCTGGGTGAAGTTTTAAACTGTCCAAAGTTTGCATTCTAGTTAATACATTTAATGTATTTATTTGAGGAGTTTGGTCTATCCTTTATGCAATTTTATGGGTTTATGTAACAAATGCCTGTGTGCACAGAACACCAGAATCCCTTTACTACAGCTTCTTCTGCATGTAATCTGCTGTCATTGAGATGACAAGATTTCACTTCTGAAAATGAAAAGAGCCCTGCAAGCCACTAGTGGCATGGATTTAAATGACTTTTCCATCTTGAGTCAGAATTTGATTGTATGCTTTGACCCAGCAGATGCTTCAGCAGCCAGCTAGCTCCCCAGTGACCTCAAACCTGGGGACTTCCTTTTCAGATGTTACAGCTTGGCCACAGCAATGAGTGATTGGATTGGAAATGCTGCCTACAGCAAGCTCGCCATCAGCCTGCCCTCCACGTTCCAGTAGCAGTACTTCGTCTTAAGTCCCTCTCAGCAAATGCAGCTGCTCCTTCCTCCAGCACAGAAGATAAACCAGGAGTCAAAGGCAAAGCCCAGAAATTCTCAGACACTGCACAGAGAGGCTTAATTTTCAGTGTCCCTGTCACACAGACTGACCAGGAACCTTTGAACACAAGCAGTCAAACCACAGGCACAGACTGTAGCTTAACGTAACTTAAGTCCTTCAGGTTTCAACATCCAAAAGAATATTTTTCCCAGAGCAGACTGAAGCAATCTACAGAGGATGTTTGGGTTGGTTTTGTTCCTGAATGGAAGAGGATGAACCTCAACTATAATTGTTTGTATTTGGAGTGACATTTATACACAATCATCAAGAAACTAAAACTGAGTAAAACACGTTGTGCCAGAGGTGGAAAGGAGATGTGTAGTGAAACCAATTTCAAACAAAAATAAATTTATTTCAAATCTTACATAGTAGAATTCCTTCATTGCACAAAGTATTAATCAATCATGTTGATGTCTGTTGGACAATACATAATAAAAGCCCTCTTGAGGTGGGGAACCCCAAAAGTAAGCTACATGAGAACTAGATACCTTATAGCTTTATGCAGCCACATGAGAGCTGGTTTCTGCTGCTTTGTTATTACACAGGTAGTTGGTTCTATCAGCTAAAGCCTAGTGACTTGGATTTGTTTTATGCATATTGGGTTTTGTTCTATTACTTTCCAAGAGATTGTACTCCCCTGAGTCAGCTGTGTTCATTGGTCAGAATAAATTCCAGCATCTGACACCATTTCCATTAATCACAGACAAGCCAGTAGACATGAGCAAGATAATAGAAAGATAAAAACAATATCTGGTGAATGGGAAACATGATTTATGTATGCTCTTCACTAATACAGAAGGTACCTGGAAGGCATTTTTTCGAGACACAAACTGAAAGAGAAGAAGACGATAGGCTTCAGATGAAGTACTTAGTCCACAGGGAAGAAAGCATCTGGAACCACACAGGTCACGTAGCACCTCGGTACCACTTTTACAGCCCATCGTTACTATGGCTGTGCTGCAGTTGTAGCTTCCCTGTGTATCTGTAAGCAATTTAAAGATAATTTGCTACTAAACAGCTGTGACATTAATTTTTATTACACTGATCTTACGCTGGACCTGTGAAGTTGAATACTGCACCCAGCCAACCACACATCTGTAAATAACACACGCAGCACAAAGTATCTTCCTACTCATTACAAGCCCAGCATCATGGATCTAATACAAACACATTGAGCAGTCAAGACACTTCACTTAACCCTGTTGTAATAAGCCAGATATGAAGCAGAGCACGTTTCTTTTAGAAAAAGGCATAAATTCTATTTGCCTAAAAATAGTTCTTGGCCTTAAGGGGAAAAAACATGGTAGTACTTAGACATCCATAATCTATAAAGCAGGCAGGTTCAATTCAAGTAACTCTAGTTCTCAGTGGCATACTAAAGATAGCACAAAAATACTTCTTGTGTATTTCAACAACACTGCAACACCTACTACCATTAGGTTAAGGCTTTGTTTCCTGAATAAAACCCAAGTTGGTAGCCTTCACCACCACACAAAGAAGTCCTGGTTCCGGTGCTGTGCGAAGGAGGCACGATAGGGATGACTGCACCGCGGACAGGGTGGTTCTGTGGCAGGCACCATGGTGCACAGAATTAGTCACCTTCCTACAGCCCAAACTGAGGGAGATGGGCTGAACAGCAGGAGCCAGCGCGCAGCAGCCTTACGTACGATCCTTGGGGATTGCCAGTAAAGCCCCAAACGGTGCAATCTAAACAAAACAGCCGAGGAGTGTTTTTAATCTTGACACTAAGATAAATCAAGATTTTGAAAAAGAAAAAAGAAAATCTCACCTTTCTTGGTTAAAAATTACAGAAAAAATGCATTTATAAACCAGAGAAACCAGAAAGTTAATTGAAAGGAGGGAGGGAGAGAGAATCCAATTCTTCATTTTATGTCTTACTCTGAAAAAAAAAAAAAACCAGTCAAAATACCAGCTCAGAGCTGGTACAGGTTTAACACAGGATACCAAATGATAGCATACAAATAGCAAACAGATACGGAACTGGATGATTTTGTTTTATTCCAAGAACTCACTTCTCAGTGTCATCGTTTGCAAATATATGCCACTTGCAGTACAAGACTGTCCAGGCCCCACACTCAATCTCTTTCTATTTACATTATACCAGCACAGCTTTAACTTCAAGGAACTTGTTCCCGATTTACAGCAGAGGAAGACAAGGCTTTCTGTTTCAGAACTGGGATTAAAAATAAAGAAAGAATGTTTCAGGCAGTTTGTTTTCCCTCTTTTAGAAGTTCAAGTGTTAAGGTGCCTATTCAGAACCATTCTAAAAATGCCGCGGTTCATTCTAAAACTTCTTTAACTCTTGTGCAGACAGTTTTGATTACACTGATCCAGGTAATCAGCTGGACAGTTTAGCAAAGTTGATCTGTTTTTCACTTCCCAAAACACATTCTCATTAGGCTTTGGAGGACTTGGGAATACCCAGGAATTATCCTCCAGAGAGCTCTTTCCATACGAATGGTGTTCCTGAAACGTTTTGCCATCCATTGGAATGGGTCTCTCATCTGTCCATGCTTGTAGAGTCACCCTTTCAGGTGGGCTTTGTACACCTCTGGGCAGAGGGGGAGACACAGCGTTGCAGAGAACTTGATCGTTTTGTGAGAGTTTTTTATAGGCCACCCCAGATGTCAAATTCAGCTTTGAAATGTTCAAGTCAACACATTGCACTGGTGCAGTAGAGGCAGCTGAAGAAGAAAAGATACAAAAAAAAGATTTTAAAATGACATTATCATCTATCTAATGCATTTTTCATCCTTTCCAAACGTGCTACCCGTATTTTGCATAAGCCAAGATCTTTCTGTAACTATAAGCACAGCTGTATCTGCACTGCATTCATGAAGTGTGGCTGATGAGCAAGGTAAACAGAAAAACTAAACCCCGTTTTCATTTCTGCCAAACCTGCCCACTCTTATGTACTTGTGAAAAATCACTGAAGAAAGCCTACAGAGCAAAAAGCCAAACTCCACTGTTTCCCGATCAATCAATAATGCCTTTTATAGCTGTGGATGTACAACTGCATTAGCAACTGCAGAAAATCAGGCTATTCACCAAGCAGGGCAAGAGAAAAATCAGTACTTGGCAGTGGCAAGACTCCAAATTAAAAATAAAGACAGAAAGACACTGCGTGATGACATCAAACCTTGACAGACTTAAGGACTAAAAACCTCATTCAGTTCCCAGTTTCTCTGCTGAACTCATTTGACAAACATGTCTTGGAACTGCAGGGACACACACAGAGGCTCACCTGGGGACAATATGACCAAGTCTACAAAATGTGTTGGTAGTTTATCAGCCAAGTACCAGGGAATGATCCTTAGTCACTGCTGGCCACAAAGGCAGTGATTCACCTGGAGGTGAATCCCATCATTGCCTCACCCAGCCAAAGCTGGTTAGAAACAAAATGTCTTGATCTTGTAATGGGCAGGGGCAGCAGAGACAGTCACTAATGTATTGTAACTAAGTTCACCATCTTTCTGAAGTGAGCAGAAAACAAAGGAAACAGTGCAATAAACAGGGAGACCGGCAGTCTGGCCCTACCACAGTAAGAACACTCTCTCATAAAACATTTGGCTTGAGAGAAACATAGGTATGAAATAGAAGAACCAGCTAATGAACTGCTCACAGAAATTATACATACTTTATGTGGAAACTGTTTTCCCCTTAATTATTTGCAATATAGCAGCAGAAATAAGGCAGGTTTGTAGTCTCAGTATTTTGACATTAAGAAAAGGTTATTTTTCATAGCATACTGCTAGAAAAGGCAACTTTTGTGAACACCAACATAAAGAAATATCCAACCATAAGGAAATTTCAGTCTATTAAAGTCTGATTTTAAAGTGTTGGCAAATTAATACTTTATAGATTGTAAACTAGGAAAGTACTTTATACATTCTAAAATAAAAAATATTCTAAACTGTGTTTGCAAAAAGATTTTTTCCGCCTTAATATGAAGTAGTTGTGGTAAAAGGTCAAATATGAGCAAACTTAACACCTCAGCCTTGTGCACATAAGCAACACTTGACTGAGAAAAAAGCCACAAGGGGAACAGAATACAGTACTGAAGAAAAAACACATCAGCAACACCTTTATGTGTGAAGCTGACCAGTATGAGACAGAAGCAAAAGCAGAAAATGGGTAGGCTGGAACCATAATACAGTCTAGCTTATCAACTTCAATTGATCGAAGTCTGATAAGATATGATAGCTGGTTTCTCCTTAAAATGCTCCAGCCTGAACCGATGGTCTGTAAGGTCCGTGACTGCAAACACTGACTTGCCTTTCTTGGTCGCTGTTGGGTTTGTTTTCAGTGTTCGTAGGAGCTCAGCTTGCACGTCAGTCACTAGGCGCAAATTAGACATTTCTCTCTTCAGTTCCCGATAGGCTTGTTGCACACTTTCAAAACAAACATTTGGAAGAAGTTAAGTAACTGCCACCTCTAAAGTGCCCTCGTGCCTATTAACGGCACTAGCTGTTAGTGATTTTGCCAGACATACACTGCAGATTTTGCTAGAGAGCCGTAATTCAGAACTAACTGAGCAGTACTGACGATCATCTTAAACGGAGGCATCGGTGTACTTTGACTGTTGCGTACTGCAGTATATAGTGTGTACTAACATACTAGATTATACTCAATTTCACATTGCCCAGTATGATGCATCTTCTCCAACTGCACTCTTTGAAACTACTAATTTAGTGGCAAGATCTCAAAGGAACACTTTCAAAAAATGCATTAAAGGGACACTAGCCTACAAACAAGGTCGGGTATTAACTCTGAATGGCTTCTGATACATGACTGCACACGCCACCATGCTATGTTCCTAGGAATGTTAATGGATCACAGTTTTAAATATTCCATCAAAATCGGTGTTTGGGACTTTACACCACTCACTTTGTGCAGTGAATTCACACTAGATACCTGCGATCCAAACTGAGCACCCATACACAGACCAAACTAAAATACAAACCATGCTGTTTCAGATTCAAGTCCTCTAATTTATGTTAATACACCGCCTTGGCAGACAGTGTAAAAAGTAGGGACCCAATTCATTCTCTGATAAGACAGCATAGTGTGAGAAACACATTTAGCAAATGCAGCACTGTTCCAACATTGAAGTTTCAGATCAATAGGTGGTAAAAAGAAATCAGGAACAAAAACAATAATCAAAGAGCCATCACCATATACTTCTTGGTGAAACTTCAAGCCAAGGCTCGCCAAACACCACATTTACTTTGATTAATAATTAACAGTGTTCTAAGACATAAGGATGCAGTTACTTAAACATGAAGTCAGTGATTTAATGGATTTTTTTAATACTTAACATTCTATCAAAACACCTTTATTGAGGACAAGTATCATGGGTGCAAGCTTTCAGGATATGTCTTTCTTCCTAACTATATTCACCTAAAAGACATTTATTTGAAAACAGTTCAGGATCTCAAACTAGTGTTGAGATGACTAAGAACTATATTAGGCCATATATGAACTGTATTTTCAAACATGCATATATACAGATTTCTGTCCCTCTAAGATAGCAATGTAGGATCACTCCTGCATGAAATTCATCAGACATGGACGTGTTCATAAGCACTGAGAAACATCTATTACTCTGTTCTTCAAGTAAACAGTGGAGGACTTCTCTTAAAACAAAGAAATTAAACTTTCTTCTATGCACAGATATATTTCCCCAGAATGCAAACATTTAGATTTAAGAACTCTGTTAAAGAACAAAGAAAGCTGACAGGTATCAGCAATTCTGATAGATATAAAGTGAAAATTGGTATTTCTAGAAGTTCCTCTAAACCTGTGGCTTCTTCAGTGCAGAGTCCATGAGACAATGTTTAAATTAAGTTGATGTGGCAATCCTGCTTCGTTTACTCATGTGGTTTGGTCTCAAAAATAAGATCAAACGAACTTTAGTCATAGTTACATCAAAACAGAACTATCTGCTGTTTAATACAGAGAAGCATTAAATAGAAGAACAGCTCAGTATCTGCCACCAGCCAGAAGGAAAGTGCTAGTTAAATTTTGTCACGTGCCTTTAAAGCTTTTAAAAGCATCTTGCTAAGGGATGCAGGTACCAGAATTCCACTTAAATCACACGTTTTAATTGTTTTTATGGATACTGATGTAGAATCCCATTGCAAAGCCTAATTTTCCAGGAATTTGCAACTGAAAACCAAGGATTCCTCATGCTTGGAAGTTTATCCTATACTGCCTCTAAAACGTAGTATAAACCTGGAATATGACAGCCTTCCCCCAGCAAAGTAGATTTGCAAACCAAGAATTTAAGATCAGATTTGCAGGCTGCTAACGAAGGAGAAATAATATCTTTCCAGAAAGTTAACTAACTGCAAATGCCTCCATCTCCCATTTTTTTCAGGAATGCTTGCTACAAGTGTTTTGTATAGGAGGCTTTTCAAGTGTTTTTCGACAGATTTTGGATGAGATCACATATTTGGTACACATTAGACAATCATTATTTATGTCTTATTACAAAAACCCCTATACTGTACATAAGCTAATTCAGATGGTTGCCACCTGAATGTCACTTTGTGGAATAAATCTGCTCTGGAGGATCAAAGAGGTAATTGCTATACCTTGAGATAACACCTTTTTCCAGGTGTGTAAGACTGACTATGAAGAATGAGTGCAGCAGAAACCGCAAGTGTTAGCTAGCTCGCTATCCAGTCAAGGTGAAATGTGAAACTGTAATCTGGCTATAGTGGATACAATGTTATCATCATTACACCAGGGAACATATGTAAAGAAATATCTGTAACTGTTCTCTTTCAGTGACTTCAGGTTTCCTTTCCTAGCTCTCTAATACCTAAGTAAGCAACAAGGTCTGTCATTATGAAGGATCACTCTTCCCTCTTGTGGAAACTCGTGTAAGTACACAAACAGCAGAGCTGGGTGTAGGAGATTCAGTTAGTATTTAATTTGTGCAGGACAGAACATTTAGGAACTTTCATGTATCCAGGGATTGTTCTTTTGCATCAAGAATTAAAGGACATGCATACTTTTAATACAGCACACATGCTCAAGAAAAGATAATACAGGAGTTCATATCATAAGCACGATTCTTATTTGAACGGCTGCAAAATGAGAGCAAATGCTTTGTGGTATTTTAGCATTCTTCTGGAAATTGATATTTCTTTTTGCATAGGCCATATAAGGGCTCCTCTCTCTCTCTCTCTATATATATATATATAAGAAAAATAATCCTTTAAAAGGTCTTATAGTAGAAATATTATTGCACTGCACTAAGTAAGACTGTACTTTGAGAGTAAGAGATTTGAAGCCATCACCTATGCAAACTCAGAAACCTCCCCATATGCAGAATGAAGATATTCTATAGCTGAGATGAGACTTGGAAACTTATCTACCACCTCCTCAAGTCAACTAATTATTAAAAAGCTGGGGTTTAAATCCAAGATAACTTTCATTTTCTGTTCAACAATCTGAAGATGTGAATGTTTTCTTATCACCATCCTGAACTACCAACATCACAAACAAAAGATATTTACAGTGATCTTGCTAAATCAGTATACCTGGACTTGAAATTAAATTCTCTAATTTGAAGTAACACATTTGAACAGGCTGCAAGAAAATTTACCTGTTCAAATAACTGTCCCTCAGTAAACTAAAACATAGAAGCCACTTGATTTTCATACCTTTGGATGTCTTGCCTTCGAATGAGGTCTCCATTTAATGGACTTTCACTTTGGGCCTGATCCTGGATAACAGAGTGAGGGGAAGATAGAGACAGAATGAGTATATGATTTCAGATCTATCAGAAAACACTGCAGTGAAACTACAAGTTTGCAAAAATTCAAAGTAGATTCATCTGTGTTGGCTGCAGTGGTTTTCAAAATGGACATCAAGTCTTCTACTAAGAATTTAACCTGAAAATGCTTAAAACTACCTACTTAAATGATAGTATTGCTGAGCCACCATACTCACTCACCCACCCACCATACTCAACCATACTCACTCTTCTTTTTAAACAGCTGAGCTCTTGGAATTTGTCATTCTTTGAAAAGCAAAAACTGAGAAAGGCTTTTGAATTCCATTTAGAAAAAAAAAAAGTAATCAATTTTCTCTTCTTCTTTCCCTCCTCAGCATATAAAGACCATTAAATTAAACCAAAGTGTTTCAGTATAGATTTACTTCCACAAGTTACTTTTATGACAGAACATAACTTATCCCTTGATTCTGAAAGACTGCTTTAAAATTGTGCATACAAGCAGCCTCACTGAGGTTAAAAGGGCTGTTTAACAAATCAAACATTGGGCTTGCTTTGGTAGTCATGTTTCTGTTAGACCCTCACCTGTGATATCCCTCCTCTTCACGCTCCCTTCCTGCTACTGTTCCCTTCAGCCAAAGCTGTTAGGAATTTGATACTCCTTACTGTGGCTTCATGAAAGCCTATATGCATTTCAAGCAACTTGTCAATACAACATACACATTGCACCAACTGTAATGCAAAACCTGAATGTCTAAAAATAGGAAAAAATAGGAATTATACTTGCCTAAGGTAGAAAACATCTGAAAATGCTAACTGATGTACTTACAACCAGTAACAACAAAAATATGAGCTGGGCTTGAAACAATGCTGACTTGTCATTCTCATGGATCACATATCCCTGTATTGTACCTGACAATTTTCCCCCCTAAGACTTTCTCACTACCAGCCATCAGAGATTCAATTTCATAGTTAAAAGAAGGCTCTATATACTTTTTAATTTCCTATATTAATCACAGATCAACAAGAAATGGTATTAAAAAAAAAAAGGGCTGGGAGGGAAGCTGTTCCTTCTATTTGTTCTTTGTAACAAAAGCTGCTGGCATAAGCATTATTTAAACAGCATCAACTCTAGTATTCCTCACAATGGCTACGTTAGTCTCTTCTTTCCAGCAACATTCACTCTCACAATGCAATCTGCAATCTTCAATTATTTATATAGCTGTTACTCTAGCCTATAGATGCAACATACCTATATGTTATGTACTGAAGACCCCAGAACTGCATACAAGTTACAGTGTGCCTTCAGAGTTTACAAGTTATTGAAACACCTAGAATTTCCAGATAAAAGTGAAAACAAACCCAGAAGTTCACAGAACACCTCACGTGCCTTTCAGGTGATGTGCTTTATCTCCTCCTAGTGGACTAAACCAGACTAAACCTTAGGCTAGACAATCGATGCACGTTAAGCCTGTCCGCATAAACCAGGAGTGTGGCTTCACAGCAGCACATCGGTGCAGATGCATCCAGTGCTGAGACCTCAACAACGTAACTGTATATGCTTTTAGGGAAGCAGGGGAGAAGGACTTGAGGCTAGGTCTAGTTTGGGGTCTGAAAGCCAAGGAGAGGTTCAGGTGCATCTTAGTATCATCCTAAAGGGATCCAGTTCCCATATTCCAGACAGCTCCGTAACGCAAGGCACAGTAGGCAGCAGTGATTAGGATATTTGCTTCAGAAATACATTTCTGTACTAATGTGAATGTGCCCAAAAAACATTCCGAAATTCAAACAAATCCTGTTTGCAGGCAGATGATAGCCATGGATGATGGGTTCTATCTCTCTTACATACCCTGAATATTGACTCACTCAAATACTGTATGAATCAAGATTAGAAAATCACAATTGTATAATGACCAAAAGGAACCTAAAATAGTCTGCTGCTTCAAACAATTACAGTTATAGCTTTCAAATTTATTGTGTAACTTCAATGGGACTGCAGACTCCTAAAGACTGTCACTGCATCTTTCATCAAAGTAAGATGTAAAGCAGGAAGCATGCAGCAGACTTCTTTAAGTTAATACATTTTATTACTGGTGAGCTATCATAATTTTCTTTTTGAGATCCTAATAACATCTACATTACACAGTGAGTCTCTCAAAACAGACACTTGCCCCAGAAGTGGCAGGGAAGTGCACCAAAAGCGGTACTTTCCTGACAAGCTTCATGCTACTACTCCAAAGAAAAGCACTACAGCTCCTTAAACAAACTTCCTGACATCTATTAATGTAAGCATCTATTGTCTGGTTTTGCCCAGACTTTCCGAGTAGTCCAGCCCAACACTAACACAGAACACTTCAATGTTAGCAGCTACTTAGGAGAAGTCATAAAGCTTTATTTTCTGTTGTTACATGGGCAACGGCTGGGAAATCTCACCTCTGTAGAATTACAGGATATTTTGAGTTGGAAGGGAACCATAAGGGTCACTGAGTTCAACTCCCTGTTCGTTGCAGGACTACCTAAACCTTATGATTAAGATCATCATCCAGACGCTCCCTAAATCCTGACAGACTTGGTGCCATGACCATTTCCCTGGGCAGCCTGTTACTATTTCCAAGAAACAAGACAGCCTATGAAGATATTTAAGGTTAGTTTTACTGAGATGTTTACCTTTCACTCAGATATATACTTTATTCTCTGTTTACCCTTTATTTTGCTTGAACATAGGATTTAAAATCATCTATTAATACAAAAATTCGTTAAAAATTAAGGTACCTTCTGCTTAGATTTTTGCAACTCCTTTCTGAGACTGTTGTACTCTTGCTTGAGCTTTTCTAGATCCTGTTCCAGACTGTGCACTTTCAGGTCACTGTTCAGCTTCTCTATTTCCCAGCTGGACTGGGTACAATTCAGATTTTTCATCACTGTAAAGAAGACAAACGAGACAATCAGATTTCAGGCTCAGTTCAAAGAGTGTGACTCACTATGCACCAACCATCCAGCCCCTGCCCTATGAAAACATTATCCTGTACATTCTGAAGAAACTGCAGTCTATCCAACAGGGCAACTGGTGAAGTTGTCAGCAGAGAAGTGGTCTATTTTCTGAGTTTATAGCATGAAGCCCTACTTTTCCAGGAATGTGCTGGAGACTTTACATAAAGAAATAGGATGTTACAGCATAAAATGGCACTAGAAATACAAAAACCAGTTAGTGGCACACGATATAGACACCAACTCACATACTACTTACATGCTTTGAAAATACAAGCCTATTCCCCTTCAGATTTATATTGTTACATAGTTTACCTTAAGTTTTCTCCAAGCTTAACATCAAGAAGTTCCAAAGACAGCAACTAAAGATACAGTCAAAACAAAAGGGTAAAGCCTATGTGCTCACTTCTAAGAAGTGGCCTAAGATGATCCTGGCATCAGATCAGTAGCAGGGTGTTAGTCACATGGCAAGAAAAGGAAGAACGTGACAGGAAGAAAACCCCCAAGTGTGCATGGTACACTCACTTCCAGATTTAACACTTGAAACAAGCTTAAGCTTAACTGATTTTTCTTAAATAAGGTACCTGAAGCTCACTTAGGAGTAAAATTGATTACTAACTATGGCTTGCAATCACCACATTTCAGAGATCTCCTTATAAACTCTGCACTTTTCACCTCCTTAAACAATGAAGGCCTCACCAGTGATGCTACTACAAGATTTGTTCTTCTAGATTTAAAAACTTGTGCAATTGAAGCAGTGCATTACATGCTTGAGGTTCTCTTCAAAAGAAATCCAATTCAAGTACAGAATACTTGTAAGTGCCTTTCAAATGACTGCATTTGTACAGAATCTGAAGTCCAGACCGCATCTCTATACAGATGTCACTTTCTCTTTTCTTGAACTGTATTAATATGGATTATTTTTTCTTCCATAACGTTTTATTTTACATACCTATCATCTACATAGCACTCTTTACAACAGGAGTAACAGAAGCTAGATTTGGGCTTTTGGAATTGCAAGGGTACACTTTATTTCTCCTTCTTCTTTCCACCAGGCTCATTACAACCAGCATCTTTCTACCCTTCCTCATCTACCAGCCCTTTAAGTAACTATAGTTCACTGCAGCTATTGCTACACAACAGCCTCTTGTACCTGTCATATCTTAACAGTGGGACAAAGCAATATAGCAGATCACCTGCAGGTACCAGAGGAAGTGGTACTGACTGGACAGTGTTTGATACTTGAACAAGTATGCTCCTGCCCCACTCTGAGGAAGGGGTGGTGGGATCCAGAGATGTACATGACCAGCCTATAGACTGTCAGGTTGTGTGTATTTCTCAAGTTAAAGTAATCTACAATGGAAGAAGAGAATAACCTCAGATCTTTACTGTGGAGCTTCTTGCCTATGATAATCTAACATGCATGTCACCATTTATAAGGATGAACACATACACATGTTCTAGAGTACCCCACTGCAATATATGCCTCCCTTACCTAGCACTATATAGGTTAAACCTCTTCATGCCCCAAGATCATAACATAACCACTAAAACTAGTCAGCATAGATTAAGATGAAGTAACCAAACACATACCTTGCTGAGTTTCCACTTCAGTTCTTAGCTGTAATAGCTCTACTTCTTTAGACTGCAACTGTTCATTCAAGGTTTTCAAGGATTCTGAACATTCTTTCATCTATTTTCAGGGGGAAGGGACAAAACCATTTGTGAAGCTTTTTTCTATCCTGTCTGACAATTCAACTTTTAAAAAAAAATAATAAAATATTCTTTGGAGGTTTTGTTAGCATTAACCTAGCCCAGCAATAAAATTGAGATACTTACAACTGTTATTCCTACATAAAGTACAGCCATGTACTTTAGAAACCTAAAGGAGTGATAAAACAAACAGCACCAACCTTCAGCAAATAATATTCATTCTACAGTAAACATCTGCTAACTCTGCAGTGCTTTTATACCATACATGCCCATCACTACTTAACCAGGCGTACCATTTTATCGAGCTTGCTTTTCAGATGATCTCTGTCAATGCAGGCCTCTCGATAAGCTTGGTACGCCTTATTTACTTGTTCACGTCCAACTGAACTGCATTCCTCTTCCAGTCGGGAGCCAAGCAGCTAGAAGTTTAACAGATATGAGAAGGAAGTAGTTTGTATATTATATTGAGAACTGCAAAGTTTAACAAGTGCACCAGCACAGCCTGCGACATTAAGCTAAGAACAGGGGTTTTTCTTCCTACAGAAGTGCAACAAAGGCTTTCTACAAATTCTGCAGTCTCTAACAGTACTTAGTGCTCGCAAGGTCACTGCTGTGAGTATTTAAAAACCATCCGCAGGTCACACTGACAATCCCCAAATCCCATTTTTCCAGGTATGTACGAACTGCTCTTTGGAAGAAGAGTTTTGAGCATATTAGACCACCACGTACAGAAAATTCTGAGGATACTGAACGTTTGTTGTTTTTTTTTTTTTTAAGTGACTCATAATTTAAGCAAAGATATTTTTCAGAGTATTTACATGAGGAAAACCAAAGCAGAATTATTTTACAAGTAAACTACTAACTTCCAGGTCACCACCATTTTAACAACCAATTTTTCCTTATCATTTCAGCATGCTGAGCCAAAGAGATTCTTTCAATAGGCAAGTTCCTGGATTCTGACAATTTATATACGTGGCACCTCACTATTCAGCTTATAAACATCATAAAGAGGTAGACGAAATACAGTAACGATCCAGTGCAACCTATGTGTCTTTCTGAATCAAAGCTAGTGTCTTTGAGGGCACTACTGCACTGCATCACAGATGTGCCCAGTAGGCAACAAAAATCCCAGTATGACATAACTAGAGAGTACCAGATGAACAAACTACATTCCAGTCAAACAAATTTACCAGAACTTAACTTAGAAATTATTTTAAGTACGTGTTTTAAGTACTTAACCATCTGCTCCAGCCAGGAGCAAAAAAAGCAGCTGCTAGCAGAAGCTGGTAAACAGACTTTTTTCTTACCTTCTCTTCTAGAATTCTCACTCTTTTTTTTAAGGAGGAGTTCTCCTTCTCTGTCTCCTTTAGTCGTTTCTTGATATCTTCATATGCAGTGACAAGCGCGAAGTGTGAGGCAACAGACTCATCTCCACTATAAGACGAAACAGGAATCTCCCCATCTCTCTTAGGAGTGTTGTCTGCTTTTTCATGGTTCAAAATACAGATGTCATCCTCCACCAACTCCTCCATGACAGCTGTTAAACAGACAAAGTGCAAGATTTTCAGAGACAAATCCAGCAAGAGTCCCAAATCTGAAAACCTTCCAAATAATACTGCAGGGTGTTTCTGTCCGAGTGTGACACGACTGAATAATTAGGAAATACCTTAATCTTGCAGAAAATTCCTGAAATCTATTTTACATTGAAAATACGCTGGTTAGAAAAGAAGCACCTTTCACTGTGACTTGGTAGAAATATTTTGAGTATGCATCAAATTTATGAACCCCCAAATTCACTTTTATTAACACTTAACACCATCCCAGAATATAGCTAGCACCAAATATTTGAACTCCAAAGGAATACCTTACTAAGAGTTTTTGCAAGTCAGCACTGAGCAGTATAACAGATTACAGTTGCAAGAAATTGACTAAGTACTGTGGTTCCTGAGCGCAAGTGCCATATTTCCTTCATTATTTAATGCACGTATTTATGCTTTTCCCAAGCTTTAAAATGGAATCTTAAGGTACATTTGCATTAGCCCTTAAGGAGACTGCATGTGTAGCTATTCTTTAGCTGGTCACATTTTTGAACAACAGTTCTTGAGGCATGTCGAGGCAGTAATTCATGACTGCCACAGCATGCATGGAGAAAACTGACAGTAATCTGACCATAAGAAAAGTATTACTCTAAAATACCAGGCAAATCCACACGACTGACAGATGTAAGTTAACCATTAGATTGAGTTTTCGTTACAACACGCATCATTTGGGCACAGCAAAACATTCAGTAAGAAAACAGCATCTTTAAAAAACTCCATATACTTTCCTGAACTCCAGGTCTTAAGGGAAAAGCCCCAACAGTGCTTTCCTTAATGTTACTGGTTATCAGGAAGAAGTTCAGGGGTTTGATTTAAAAACAAACCAACCCCAAAACTAACCAAACTAAAAGACCCAGCTTATTCTTACTTAGGGTAATTTATATGCAATACTAACAAATGCTATACAGTACCTGATAACATTTTCCCCTGTCCTTAAAACAAATAGGTTTTTTCCCCTTGAAAAAATCCTTAGGTTCCTGATGAACCAATAGAAACTCTGTAATGAAGTGAGTGTAATAAACAGTTTGTATTGTAGGAAAAACTCATTTCAACAGGAAATGGACCTGATTAGAACTTCACAGGAAAGACAGGCATCAATAGGGCAAAACTCCACAGGCACAACTGCTGCCTCTATTGTGTATCTGTTACTTAAATTCAAACTAGACTTTCATTTGTTTAGCAATACTAAGAGGTAAAGGGATCAACTACCCTGGAGCTTATCCATGTGGTCAAATTTCCCTCACTGTGCTAGGACTGGAAAAGCCACATGGGTTGCAGCACTGTGAAGAGCTGTAGTACAGCTATGGGTGAACAATGGTGTGGTTACCACGTTTGTCTCCTTTTGCTCCAAGCCACTTAGACGACATGATGAAAAACTCTGACAGCTCATTTATACCAAACAGATGGCAATGGAGTTGCAACGGTGAAAAGAGACAAGAAAACCTACAAACCAAAACTGAAGTCCTTTTAATGGTTATCTTCAGGAGGCAAACAGATGCCTTGTACACTGCTGTATTCTAACAAAACAGGAGGTAGCCTACACTTCCCTTGCCTATTGCTCTGGCTCATACTTCAGGAGAATGAGCCTTGCAAAAAAAGGTTTCTCTCCTTTTCAGTGCAAGAATATCACTGCTCCATGCACAAGGTGACCTTGACCAAAAGCACTGTATCATCCAAACTGCATCAACTAACTGAAAGAATTGCTGATTTTGTCTTCTAAGATGAGCATAACATAACAGCTTTTCCTCCCACGTTGTACCAAGGGCCCTGTGAGTCGTCACCCATCTCATCAAATTCCAAGAGCTTGCCTTCTCAAAGCAACACATCTCCTTTTCTCTGAACTAGACTCAAATGTCATTAAAGAAGTGTCACAGCTTATCATTATCTCTTGAAGAAAGCTGCAGATTGTGTGATCTTGTACATAAAATACATCTTTGTCCCCACACTTTCCTATAGCTCCTAAACTTCAGCATCATACATTCCCATTTTCTTGCACACATCAGTTCCACCAGGAGATGGCAATAAGGGAAAACAGGAGACAACATCAGGAGACAAGACCATATTTGTTCTGTATTTTGCTGACTAAACCTTACTGCCTTTATAAGCTTCCAAAAGAACAAGACCTTTCAAGTAAAATGCAGCATACACACTTAACCTGCGTCTAGTAAGAGGACTAGCTACACTAACATTTTTTCACTTGAAAGACCTCATTTCGTTTATAGAATTACTCAGCTCTGGTTTTCTGATGCTACTCTCTAAACCAGCACCATCAAGAAGGGGAAAAAAATCACTTTATTTTTCATTATCTCTATTAACATATATCTCTATTAACATAAAGTATTAATAATATCCATACACCATATTACACTGCCACGACCACAAAAAAAGTGCAGTCGTTTCAGCTTTACAAGAAACACATTTCAAACCACCACTGTCATCCAGCCCAGTAACACAGAAACAAAACTGAGCCATCAGACAGACATCACTTTCAAATAAATGGGCAGATTTACATAAATTGAAATTTAAATGCCACTGAGCAATAATTTACTCAGCATTTTAGAGCATCACATGAAAGGAATATAATAATAGAATATTTACATGACTAAGGCTAGCATAAAATCACTTCAAAAAGACATAGCATAGGCAGTCAGCAAACAAAAAGCTCTGGGTATTTTGAGATTTACCAGTACCTCCTGAAGGACATTTCTGCTTAGGGAAACAAGCACTACTCTTGAAACCAAAGTACCTTTTCTTCACAAAATAAACAAGCCACTATGATTTCTAAGAGATTTCATGACGCTATTGTCAGTCAATCTGAAAGGAAAAGTCTTCACATACTTTATTCTGAACAGCTCCCCATCTCTGCGGTAAGTCATTCTACAAAACCACACAGTAAAACAACCAAAAAAAAACCCCACACAAAAACATAAAACTTTGCAAAATCTTAGTAAATTTATAGAAGAGAAAAAAAAAACTATGAATAAAATGCATTTAACAGATCTCAGGTGGCAGTTGATAAAACTTTAACAGTTACCTCTATTAGTAAACATCAGTCTGTTGCCTGTGCTTAGTGAATATTCCTTTTATTGCATATTTCATAGTTTCCAATCTCAGTCTAGAGAATTATGATAAGACATTTCCCAAGAAAAAAAAGGCTATGACTTCTGTATTGGATAGGTGCACGATGACTCAAAAGCAAGTTGTAATATACACACCACGAACTGCAGTAGAGATTAGATGAGCATGAGGAAATAGTCACATTAGGAAAAATCACAGCATCTTTGCTAAATTTACCTAAATATATCAACACAAGCTAAAAACCAACCAACCAAACCCCAAACAGTTCACCTCTATCCTGCAAAAAGCTTTCTGAACTCTTTCTAAAGAATAATGCAGTTACTTTTCCAGCACCTCCTAAGCCAGTATTAAAAGGCCAATAAAAGATATAATCTCCTACAAGAATAAAACCTGGCCATTAAACAGTGTAAGATCAGCAGTTCTATAAGGTCACAGTGAAATGCACAGTTCCCCCAGCTCTTTGTTTTGCTGTCAGAAAAAGGAAAAAACCCCGAAAAGAAAAACATACTCAAAAATACTTCTTTCTCCACAAGAAGCTCTCTCATGATACTAAAGCAATAAATGGAAACCCTTAGAAGACAAAACCTTACAAAATGCGGCTACATCCGTAAGAAATCCCCGACTGCAGCTGTAGCCTTAGATTTTACTCTTTAAAGGCAGGAATCAAAATTTAGTTTCTCCAGTATTATATTACACCATTTAATAAACATGAACTGTAAGCAACAACTCAAAGAAGTGCTTTCTGACACACACATGCAATAGATTATGACTCCTCAAATCCAGCAGTCCCAGCAGGGCTGGCAGGATGGCTCACCGAGTCCAAGCACAGACTCTGCCCCTGCTTTATTTTGTTTACCTTCTCCCATTCAAAGCCACATGTATGCTCTGCTGCAAATGCCCCAGAGCTGTTACTCTGAAGCATTGAAATTTGATCACTCTGGAGCTGTAATTAATGAAATAATGAAATCCGTGGGATTCTGTACAAGAATAACAGTGAAAAATTTCTCACTAAAATATTAAAAGCAATATACAGACAAGTTAATGCCCATGAATACAACTGATGACCATCTTGGCCTATTTGAAAGCAAGCTTTGCAATCCCACTTATTACACACCCCATCCCAAAAAAGATCTCCCTAACTTTTCCCTGTGACAAAGGAACATGTTACATCTGTACTTTTTATTAGGCTGCTCTGCACATGAAAGAGCCTATTTAAAATTACTTTAATCTTTACTTCTAAAAATAAGATCATTAAATGAATACCAGTATTAGTGTTTGCATTAAATAATTTATGCTTTTTAAGAAAAAACACAAACAAGCAAATATGCTGTTGACAAGATACAGCATTAAGTTCTAGCAGGAGTAATTACCTTCACTGTTTATAAGCATGAGTTTGAAGATATAGCATCACTTAAATTTTCTTTAACATACATCAGAAGTGGCTCCAGAAACCACTTCCGCTGTTCATCAATTCTTAAAGTAGGTTACAGACCAGCTTTGATTTAATGTATTAAATATCTTGAGAATAAGAATGTTTTCTCATTTCTCACTAATGGGAAAACAGAAGTAAGAGCCTTTCTCTTCACAGAGCTTTACAAATATTTGTCATTAACACCATGGGTAGTAGTTAAATATAAACCACATTGTACATATGAGGAACACAGGATGCAGAGGCTCTAATAGCAAACAGACCACTGCACAAACAGACTTCTGTAGTTTGAAATGCTAATCTTATTCTCAGATCAGGAGGAGAGAGAGTAAAAGCAGGATTACGTTAAATTTTTCCCCATCTTTTGATTTGAAAGGGACTAGAACAGTTTTCAAAGTATTTCCAAATGTCAAATACAAATAATTTC